TCTTCACTTATTTTCAATTTAAGTTACAATCCATCTTTTTAGATGCTTTTTCTTAAAATGTTTTCTCTTGAACTTGGTTGTAAATCTCTACTGTGGCTGTGCTGAAACACCAAAGGTCACACTCATATTCTGTATTCTTAAGATTTTTACAGAAAGATTTGTTCATACAAATTTCCCTAATTAAATACATTTTATTCTACAAAAAATGAAAATGTTTTGCATTTGAACTACTGAGTGATAAAGAGAATCCCAAAATACCCTCTGCAAAAATATTTTGACTCTTAATCCTTTGTATATTTAATTGTATACATAAAAAAACATTTCAGATTTTTAATGTATATAAATATATGCATATTAATGCCTATTTAATGAAATGGTGCCTCATTTGCATATTTAAATATACAAATTAAAAACATTTAAATTCAAAAATGTGTTTGGGATTCCTAATGTCATCAATCAGCTCGGGAAGTATGACTTTGTTTTTCATCCTATTTGCCTAACATGCTCACTGAATACAAACCTAACAGATCCCTCAGATCTTTAGGATCAAATAAATTAGAAACTCCAAGAGTTCAGTCAAAGCAGGGTGAATCTGCCTTCAGCTACTACGTTGCTGGATTCAGCTTCCAGAAATGATCAGATGTGCTCCTACATTAGGTACATTCAAATCAAGACTGAAAACTCTGTTTGGCTGTGCCTTTACCGAATAAGCACTGTGCTACATCTGACAGATCACACTTTTATGTCTTTATTTTCTATTTCATTCTTTAAAGGGGTGTTCCAGAATATAATATTAGGGCTTGGTTGTGTTAATAAGATGCAAAGCAATGTATGCTCATGTTTCACTTGAAGGAAATCATGTTATTTTTTTAATAAATCTCACTTTGATTACATACAGCTACTCAGATAATATAAAAACGACTGACATATTTCCTAGTTCCTCTGAAAGGCCCACCCTCAAGTGACTCTGATTGGTCATCGTCATAATGTGCTGCGATTCTATTTACTATGAACTATCTGTAACACGAGAAGCACATGTGCTCGGAAGCTCCTTGTAGTTGCTCCATCTTTAAGGAGATTTTAGCCGAATCCAGCACTGAACTGGGAGAGATTCTGGAAGCTGTTTTGTCAAATCATGCTTGCTATGTATTTTATAATTCTCTGGAACATAATTATATTGAACTGGAAGCATTTCTGTGTTTGTGTCGTGTCATTTGGAAGCCCAAATACAGAAACAGAGCAGCTCTGTTTTAATTAGCAGAACGGCATTTCTCCCTCTTTTGTAACGTTACAGCGCCTGTGGCCACGGCCCTTAGCTGCACAGTGTGTGCGTGCGGTAAACGAACCTTTGTGATCTCACAAGGGCTGGAAGTATTTTTTGTAGTACACAAAATTTGTTCACTGTAGGCTTTGCTAAGCTAACTCTGTTAAAATCAAGGTCTCCCTTTGCATTGAACTTTGAGGATTTTACATTCAGAGATGCTGTTTATGTTCACACAGCTACATTACACATCAACTAAAGTTTAAAATATGACATCGTAGTGGACCACCCCTTTAATAACCTGTTTGAACACATTTTAATTTGTTTATCTGTTTGAATCATGTTATTTCTTTTAATAATTTTTATTTTCTTGTTTCTGTTATTCTTGTTTATGTACAGCACTTTGAGTATAAAATGTGCTATACTGTTTAAATAAACTTATGCTATATAAATAAACTTGCCTTGCCAAACATGTTTATCAGGATTGTCTTGCCTTTATTTTTTTGCATACGAGTTAATTGTATTTACATAAGAGATTTAACAAAATCGTTTTACAATTTATAGTTATAAAGATAGATAAAGATCATTTCATACAAGACCCTCCTTTACAGCTAAATGTCCTTCGGTTCAAATGTTAGTAAGAATAAGCTTGGTTTTTGTAATGATATATGTTCTTCACCACACATTTTGCATGGTCAAACGGTGTGCTAAACCACACCCATATTCTTCACTGTATTAAATAAGCAGCTTTTACATAAGTGTCCACAGCAATCACTGTAATGGAGCCTCAATGAAGAGCCCTATATTTGAAAAAGCTTAATTAGCATGAGCGCCGTTAGCTTATCAGAATAAATCACCTTTACAAGTTGATATGCCATTAGCCATTATACAAAAAACAGGCATATTTGGGTACATAAAATATTTTTGATCCAAAGCAATCTAAGTTAGGATTAATCTGATTTGCCACTGTGATCTATTAATTTTGACTTATTCTCAGTGTGAGGTAATCAGGCCACATAAGTGCTTTGCCATGCTAATTTATTTCTAGAGGCTCATGCATTCAATTTTGTGCGGTCAAATGAAAGAAACGAAGGAGGACAACAGGGTAGCTAATTACTGGCTGTCAAGACGAGGGAGAGAGAGAGAGAGAGAGAGAGAGAGAGAGAGAGACAGAGAAAGAGAGAGAGAGAGAGAGAGAGAGAGAGAGAGAGAGAGAGAGACAGAGAGACAGAGAGACAGAGAGACAGAGAGAGACGGAGAGAGACAGAGAGAGACAGAGAATGCTGAAAAATGAGGGAATGTATTTAGTGGGCTTTCGATTATTTACTTATAGAGACTATAAAAGCTTAGAAACTTAAAAAGAATCATTAAAAGATAAAACAAACATTATTAAAAAGCCCCTATTATGGGGTTTTGAAAATGAGTTTCTTCGCAGTGTGTAACACAGCACTAAGTAAATGAAAACATCCAGCTGAGGTTTATATCTGAAAGAGCACTATAATTAAAGCTATTGAATTTTTAACGTTATAGTCGACTCAGAGTCAAATAAATGAATTGTGTTGGGTTCGGATCTTTTGCCCAAAGGCATCAACGTTAACACAGTACATCACCAAACATGAAGTGCCAGATCGGGTAAAACGTGAACGCACCTTTCCCTTCAGACACTAGCGGAGCGCGTGTATCACAGGGCTGATTATAACACAAAGATAATGATCACTGACAGATGGCGATTCGGCTGCGGGGAATAAAGGGTTTAAGTTTATATTCACAACAACACCACATTATAGTCAACCATGTGCTTTGTTTGTTCCTGTAATTTTTCAGAGACTTTGTCAGTAACTGTCACACCTTATATGGACCAGTTTCTTCTCCCTCCGGATCATAACATATAAGTGTAATAAAAATTGTTGCCTTGTTTTCTGTAGTTTGCAAAATATGTATTTAATTGTGTGCTGTCACTTGTAATCGCTCCACACGGCTTGTAATTACTTATCTTATATAGATCAGTGCTTGTACTGTATCTCTCAGGTTAAATCTTTATGGTTCTATTTACATATTGCTTCCAAAACCACGCTGAAAACACAATGCGTGCTTCTTTTTTTTACCAGTGTAAAAGATTTTCTGAACTTGTGATTGTCTGCCGTTTGTCTTTGCTATGGCCACCATCAGCTGTTCTTTCACATGTGCGACGCAGTCCATTTTCAGAATAAATCAGCTTTTGCCACTGTGTGGATTAATACTGAATGTGTGTCGTTGTTATTACTTGGGTTTGGGTTTAAGAGTAATATGTTGGTGTTTAACTGCATTGGGCTCTCTCACACACTCTCTGCTACAACATTTCTCATACATTTTTCTATGTCTCGCGCTGAACCCAGTAGACTAATCACAACAGACTTGGTCGTCGGACCAATCAGCGCAGATTAGTGCAATCTCATGCAAAGGAGGGGTTTGGGAACAAATAAATCACTGAACAAATCATATGGAAGTCGTGGGGATAATTAGTTAAAAATAAATGCATATTATAACACAATGAAAGTGTTTTTTGACCTTGCATGCATATCAGCCTGCTGTTGGAGATAAACAAAACCAAAATATGACATTTCACAATGCGAAATAGGGGCTCTTTAAACATCACACAACTAAAACATTTTTGTCACTTGAAATAAAATGTTAACTGAAATAAAATAATATTACAAATACAATAATAGGTATACAAAATAAAAAACAATATAAATACATAAAATATTTTAGACTGCCATCAAATAAATACTTTTAGTTTTGTATACCTCATGATGCTAAATAGCTAAAACTAAACAGTTAGTAAAAATTATACTTACATATAATATTTTTAATGTTGTAATTTAGATTTTTATATAAAAAAAAATTACACTCAATACCAATGATCAGAATACAATACCCACTTCAGAAGTGTTAAGAAATCAATATTTGACGGATAATCACTGATTTTCAAAACAAGTGAAATCAAGACATTTAAATATTTTTTATTCTGACCAGCTGTCATTTTTGGTTTAAAAATGCTTGAATCTTAACAAAACAAAACAAAAAATTATTAACGTTGTACTCACACACACATGCGCATGTACGCATATATACAGTGATTGTGTGCAATCTTCAACACACCAATGTTCTTCATACTCTACTTCATAAACTTCCAAAGTCAATTCCCCAATTTATACTAGCTAATCATGAAATGCTCTTTAAGACACACACATACACACACTATCGCAAACTCCTTGACTCTCTATGCTTAATTACTCCTGAAGACGTTATCAGTGATATCACACAGCAACTCTTCAGAGCCTGACCTTGGCCCTGGCAGATTAATGTTGTGAGGTCTAGATACAGCACCACAGTGGACATCCAATCTCATTGCACTGATAAATTTAAAGCCCAAGTTTTAACCAAACAAACAACACACAGCAATTCATTATTCCCAAAGAGTCTCAGAATGTGCATGCCTCATGTTTAAATAATAAATGGTAAAACTCAACCAATCCAAACAAATGTTTATGAATGACGGGGTTGCACAATTCATACTTACCAACTGGAAAAAAAATAAATTAAGGTCATAATCTTATGACAGACTGTTAAAGATGCTGCATACTGGGGCAGGTTTTTAGGAAAAAGATAAGAGGTAAAGCTTAATCTAACATGTAAATTGGATCAACTGAAAAGGGAAAAGACAAAGGAGATGAAGGGTATGAGTTCCCTACTATACCTCCTTAAGCTGAACTCTCACTTTGTTGATTGCCTTAAGCCAGCGCACTCTGGATGGAGAGAATGGTAAAGGAAGTCCATCATCCTTGAAGCTAGAAAAGGAACAAAAAAACTTATTAAATATAATTTATGCTATTGAAGTGATTCATTATACTGAGTGCAAACTGCAAAGTTTACAGTATACAATTTTTAATGCTCATGTTAGGTTACAAGCTAGAGTGAACAAAAGTACCTTTTAAAACTTCTGAATCTAAAACTGTCCATAACGTTATAATAAAGTACATTTCAGTACATGAAACTGTACTTTTTAAATAAATTCTAAAATTTAAAGAGGGACCACCCTAGTGACAGCTTTTATACCTTTAATTCAGTTCAAGCGCTTGGCACTTACTGTATGAACAATAAATATGTATGAGCAAAAAACAACATTGTACTAGTTTAAAAAAAATGAGTATATATATTTGAATCTTTTTAAAAATCTGTCTATTGTTTTTGCAACCTTCAGTCATCCCTCATTTGTTTTTTCTCTTCTGACTATGAAACAATTTAGGTAAGCGTTGACACACTGTGAACAAAGTTACTTAAAAGGTGCAATAAGATATTTTGGAAAATGCTGATGTTAGCCTGATAGCACTGAAAGTCAACATCTTACCCTGCAAATCTCCATTCATAATCCTACTTTAATGATGAAACGCACATCATGCAAATTATATTAATACCTCAGGTCAAGCATAAATCAGAAGTACACATTAGGCTAAAGTCAATGAATGCGTACCTTTTGGGTGATTTTTCAGGCATTTTGTCCACTTGAGAAACCACTTCCTTTTTTAAGGTGCTGCTTGTATCCTTTCCATTTTCTTGAGAGGATTTCAATCCCTCATCTTCACCCCAAGAAGCATGTCCATTTGTAGGGTGATGTCCATTTCGGGATGGTCGGTAGCCAGTACTGTGATAAGAATGGTAGGACTCCTCTAACTCTGAACAGGCAGCACTCTCTTGACCAGTCTCACTGAGCTGAGAACTAGCTTGACTGAGATTCCCTGAAGACCCAAAACGACTAGAGTTCACAGGACTAATGTTGTTGTTTTTTTTTTTAAAGAGAGAGAAAGAACAAGCAATTAGTGTCAATGATTTTTATAACTACTTCCACTAGCTTACATTAGGTCTAAACTTCAATTAATTAGGAATGCTATGCACAACTAATGGAAATACAAAATTGCAAAGAACCAAAGCACAGTTACAGAAGTCACACAGCACTAAGAGAAAACAAACCACACATTGGGAAAGCCAGCATTTTTAAATCAAACTAAATCTAAAACTAAAATCATTGAGCATGTTTACATGCACATTAATTATCTTATTTCTTTTAAACAGATTATTCCAATATGCTGATTTTTAGTCAACAACATTTAAAACTGCATTTGGCATTTCAGACACTTTAAACAAAATTCTTGTGTTTATGTGGTCCTAGTGAGATTAGCTTGAGCACTGCTAGAAATCCTATAGTAATCATTATTTCGATGCAGAGACCACAATCCTGAAATGGCTGAGTAAATGCCATAACAAATGATATTTTTAATATATATTATCTTCATAAGAAGTATGATTGTGCATGTAAACATAGTGCAACATAAATGGTTTATGAAACCATTTATTATGCTGCTACTAGCCTTTTAGGAATCAAAAGGTCCTTCTTTTCCTGCTGTAATCCTGAAGAGGCATCTGTAGAAGGTGGGGTCTGGATATGGATTTCCAAATCTTTTTGAGGAGGAGGATCAGGTGTGGATGCAATAAGTTTGGATTTATCTGTGTTATTTTCTGTAACTTCAAAATTTGCTACAGTCTTTTGTTTAATGTCAACTGAGTGGGTGATTTCGCCTTTGTCTTCCTCCAAGTTTAAATTATCATGGTCTTTTTTGACAGATGTACCATCTTCGATACGTACTTTATTTTCCTGAGCTTTAGGTTGGATTGTAACAACTGGGGTTGTTTGTGGTTTAGGCGGTTCTGGAGTTTCTTTCTGCCATGGAAAACCTAATTTTGCTCCAAATAAAGATGCTGGTGTTGCTTCTTTTGAAACCACTGACTTCTCATCTTGAAACAGTCCTGCTGAAAATGACTTAAATCCAGAAATAAGCTTGCCACTTTCTGTATTTGGTATTGAGGGTGGTGAAGAAAATAAAGACCCAAACGACTTTCCAGCATCAGCAGCTCCAGACATAAACCCAAATTTAGATGCTGTTAAACCTGGCATGCCAAATATGGACTGAGAAGTTTCTGATGATTGAGGTTGTTGAGCCATTTTTGAACTATTGTCTATTACAGGCACAGATTTGTCTGTAAACTTTTCTTCAGAAACCATGACAACTGTTTTCTCTTTAATTACTTCGCCTTCAGGAGGTTCCTTAATAACTGTTTCAACAAGTTGACAGCTGGAAGCCTCAGTGGAATTGATGGTTGCAACTGTAACATTATCAGAAGCATCATTACAAGACATTTCTTTTGCTGATGAATGGGGTTCTATTTGACTTTTTTCATCTTTGTCTCCAGACAATGTAACATCCCTAGAAGCTAACAATGACTGATCTTGGACTGACTGAAGAGACTGGGATGTCAAGGTAATAGATGATTTTATGTCAGCTGTTTTGGGTGCTTCTGGAGATTTAAACATACCAAAAATGTCACTTTTTATAGATTCTGTTGGTATGCTACTTGAAAAGCCAAAGACTGAGGTTTTGGGTATGGTTGGGGTTGAGTGAAGTTGTGAAAAGAGACCACCTGAAGAATTTGGGGCTGAACTGGCACCTGTGAACAGTTTAGACATAAAACCACTGACAGCTTCAGTTGATGAGTCTAAAACAGATTTCTGTGATTCAGAATGTTTTGGATGTCCCTCAGAAGCACTGGTCTCAGTTGAATTGGTTTGTTGTATATGCTGAGTTTGGCATTCTGTTATCTTGACCTCTGCTTTTGTACTCTGCTTTGAAATTGATTCAATATCTTTTGCTAAATCATCTCCGGTCAAACTAATATTACTATGGCTAACAACATCTAGGTTACTCCTCTCAAGAGCAATCTTCTCACCAATGACATCTGAGCTTTTATCAGAGATATCAGTTGAGAATGAAGCCATAGATGCTGCTTTCCTTTGATCTGCCATGACAGAATGCTGGGAATCATAATATGTGGGTTCTGTTTTCTTTTCCTCCGAGCCCATATTTTTACTATCCTCAGTCACATCCTCTTGAGAAACTAGTGATGCAACCTTTAACAGCCCTTCAGTTTCAGATGGTTTTGATGTTGGTGTTTGACTAGGTGAAGGTGCTGAACTAGGCCCACCAAACATAGAAAGAAGACCTTTTCCAGGAGCATCTTTAGAAGCAACTCCAGACAGAATACCTCCAAATATTGAAGAAGGCTGAGGAGTGGCTTGCTGTGGAATTGACCCACCAAAAACGGAAAACAAGCCTTTGCCCGTTAACTCACCAAAGGCTGAAGCACCTGAACTATTATTCTGAACATTATGCCCAGCATTACCAGCACCAGGTTGGGAACTTGGTCCAGAAAACATTGAAAATAGATTCTTTGCTGGAACTTCCTTTGATCCTGAAGCACCAGAAAAAATACCACCAAGTATAGATCCACTTTGAGCATTTTGAGGACCTGATCCAGAAAACATTGACAACAATCCTGAAGTTGCTTCCTCTTTTGGTGGCGCTACACCCTGAGCAGAAGAATCCTCTTGGTGTGCTTGCTTGCTAGATTCAGACTGTGCCAATCTACTATCATCAGTTGGCAATGCCTCTTGTGTGGATTTTGGAACTGATACTGTTGGGTCGCAGTCTGGCTGCAGAGTATGCCCAGCAATCACAGAGGTAATGTCTTTACTTTGTGGCCCTTTTGACTCTTTGCTATCAAGAGAAAGAGAATGTCCAGTTGAATCTGGCTGCTGTGAGAATGGCTGGGAGATAGTTTCATTGGACAAAGAGGGTATTTCATTTACTGATGGCTCTTTATGTGACTCATTAGATGGCACAACAGTCTCATGAGGTAAGCATTCCAGTGGAGCTGATGGGTGGCTGGAAATTCCAGAGTGTAAAAGTAATCCTTGTGATGGACTGTCATTTGGTAATTCCTTTGCGGGAGTCGCTTTCGTTGCAGTAGAAGAGACTGATTGTGCTGGTGTTTGTTGTAATTTAGACTCATCCAAAGAAGATATATGTTTAACTGTCTGCTCATTAGTAAGAACGGCTGCTGGAACTCTTGTGGCAGGTGGTTGTGGGCTTTGTGCTCCAAACATAGAAAATAAACCTTTTGCTGGACTCTCACTAGAGCTGGAAGACCCACCTAATATACCACCAAAAATTGATCCTGTCTGTTGTGAAGATGGTTGTGACCCTGAACCACCAAACATAGAAAATAAACTTTTGCCCAAAGGCTCTTTTGGCAGTTCATTTCCTTGGCTTGCAGACTGAGTGGCCGAGCGTGGTTGTGAGGTCTGCTGAGGGCCACTGAACATGGATAGCAGTCCTGTTACGGGTGTATCTTTTGGTGGGTCAGCTCCAGATGCTGGTGACGTCTGCTGAGGGCTACTGAACATAGATAGCAGTCCTGTTACTGTTGTATCTTTTGGTGGATCAGCTCCAGATCTTGGTGCAGTCTGCTGAGGGCCACTGAACATGGATGGCAGTCCTGTTATAGGTGTATCTTTAGGTGGATCGGCACCAGATCTTGGTGCAGTTTGCTGAGGGCCACTAAACATAGATAGCATTCCTGTTACTGGTGTATCTTTTGGTGGATCACTTCCAGATCTAAGAGAAGTCTGCTGAGGGCCACTGAACATAGATAACAGTCCTTTTATTGGTGTATCTTTTGGTGGATCAGTTCCAGATCCTAATTCAGATGAAGCCTGCTGAGGGCCACTGAATGTAGATAGCAGTCCTGCCATTGGTGTGTCTTTTGGTTGATCAGATTCAGATGAAGTTTGCTGAGTGCTGGAACCACTAATCAAAGAGAGTAACCCCATGGCTGGTGATTCCTTTGGATGAACAGTGCTGGTTTGTTTTTGATTACAAGAACTCACATGTGTTGAAGGCTGCTGTGTACTAGTGCCACTGAACACAGAAGATATATTCATGCCTAGATATTCTTTAGGAGGTACAGCTTCTGGTGGGCAAGGCTGATGTGTGGATCCAAATTGTGGTGAGGTCTGTTGAATGCTAGAACCTCCAAACAAAGACAGGATGTTTTTGCCAAGTGGCTCTTTTGCAGAGGAATTACTGATTGAACCTTGGAGGGAGGTAGATGCACTTAGAGATGGAGCTTGTTGCTGACTGGAACCACTAAATATGGACAACAGCCCTTTGCTTTCATCTTTCGAAGCTGTGGTCCCAGAGAAAATATCCCCAACAGAAAAACCAAACAACCCACCTGACTGCTTGGCTTCTGGTTTGGTCTCCCCAGTCGGTGGCATAGTTTGAGATCTCCCTGGTGTTGGCAACCTGTTTGCATCAGCAGAATGTATCTGAGATGAGGAGACACTCCTTCCCTGAATTGATTGTGATAAACTAGGAAATTCTGATTCACCACCTTTTGCAAAGGTATTTTCTGCTGTTTGCTGTTTCTGAATCCCTTTAGGCACTGTCATTGTTGAGGCTGAATGTTGCAGATTTGTCTTTGATATAGTGTGGGAAGGACTTTCAATGTTAAAAAAATCCCCTATTGACCCAAAAAGTTTTGATGTTCCCGTTGTGTCTTGGTTTGTTGTTGAATCTTTCATGCCATCAGAAGCAGTTCCAACTTTATCAGCTTGTCTGGATACTGGATGAGCAGATTTAGAAGGCTCTGACTTGACCTCCTCTATACCCACTGCTGTTTTGAAAAAGTTTAAAAACCCACTTGATTGCTCAGATGTCTTTCCACCTTGTGTTTCTGCTGGCAGAGACACATCTAGAGAGGCAGATTTGATGGTTAAACTGGACTGTTCTCTTAAAGTAGTAGATACAATTGATGTTGGAGGAAGAGAGGACTGTTGTGACAATGTAGCCTGTCTAGCCAGTTTGGGTTTCTGAGATGAACTTAAAGTGCACGCACCCTGAGAGGGCGTGGAAGCTGTTGGCTGTGCAGAAGATGTTACTGAAACTCTAGGTGTTGTTGGAATTTGTTTGGATGATAACTGATTTGTATTGTCTGGTTGAGTTGTTCCACAAACGTCATCCTTTACGATCTTTGATTTAAGACTCTGAAAACCTGTTGAAATAAAGCTTTTGGCTTGCTGATCAGCAAGTCGTGTTTCAGAGGCTTTATGAGATCTGCTTTGATTTTGTCCTGAAAAAGAACCATCTTTAGCAGAAGGTGACTTTGAGACAGCTGTGTTTCTACTTGATTCTGAATTGGAGCTTTTGCCAACAATTGAGGATAGAATTGAGGAGATTTTCTTAATAGATCGATTTGGCTGCTCCTCTCCAGGCTGTACTCTTTTTCTCCACTCTTCTTCTGAAACATCATCTATATGTTTTATTTGCACTCCACTGGATGAACGACGCCTCTGTTGAGGCTGGTAGCAGCTGTAGACACCAGTGGTAGGTGAAGTTGTGGTTTGTGTGGCACCAAATGAAACAGAAACCTTATAAGACAGCAGTTCTTTTATTTCTCTGCTGTCGAGATTTACATTATTGTAGTTTGTTCCATGAAAAGAAAGGTCAACAGCTTCCTGAGACGGATCACAGTAACCATAATTGTGTGGGAGCTGATGATTAGTATCCATCCTAACTTTGTTAAATCGGTAACTGGAAAAATCCAGAGCTTGCTGTCTTTGATTAAGCATTGAATCTGCAAACATCTGTGAAAAACGCTCAAGGTTCAGATTCATGATTTGGTTACCTTTTTTATAGGCTGCTGACAAGTCAAGTGGTGCAGTCAGAAGTTCAGCTTCACTTTGGCCTTGACTTGGAAGCCAGAGAAGCTCATCTTCATTGTATAGAGGAATCTTAAACCCACAAACTTTTACCACCTCATTATACAACCAGGCACTAGGATAGATGTCCACTGTACTTGCCCACTCTTGTTCTGGGGCACATGCATAAACATACTGCCCAGACTCATCTGTGAGTAGGGCGTAAATATACTCATAATCAGTGTAGACAAAATATCCACAATCTCCATCATCTGCAGGCCACCACATACCCTGGTCCAAAAGTGAAAGCCATTGTTGATACCACTCAGACTCCTCAAGATACACATGTTCCTCCATATCACTGTTGCTTGCTGAAGAGTAGTTCCAATGATTGGGAGATGTAGCTACATTAACATGGCTTCCACTATTCCCAGGCTGAGTGCAAATGTCAGATGTCCCATGATAAACATACTGCCCATTAGCTGAGTAAGACAGATGTGGAGGAGTTTCCTCATAATATCCTTCATGATATGAAATACTATTCAGACTGTAACAACTTTCTGCACTAAATGAGTGCCACCTGCTTAATTTAGCATTATTCTTCATGCTCAAATTCAACACACCTTCAAACTCTTGGTTGTTAATCACATCCAAATCGTTTTGGCTATTCCACGCTCTAGGTCTCACTAAACTATTGGGAACATCAGTGGAATAATCTGATTGGTTCTTACTCCCATTGTAAGAATGGAATTTCATCCATGGCTTTGTATGAGAGTATTGTTGGTTAATATCCATGTTTATATCATTCAAATACTGAGAAGATGTGTGGACTTCATTAATTGGTGTAATTTCATGTCCATCAGGTACTATTCCCAATGACTGATCATTCAGCTGTTGCCACAATATAGATTGTTGTATCCATGAGTGTTCATCACTGGGACTAGGTTGCAATGCATATGATGGAGAGATTTCTTGGAAACCATACTGTTCAGGTTTACAATGGAAGGATGGATAACTCTGCCTAAAACATTCCTGTGACATCACTGCTTGAGATGGGTGACAAAGAGGTAGATTTTCAGTGCTATATGAAGTGGTTCTAATTTGACTTGAGAGCATAAAATTTTGTGAGCTGTATAAGAGGGGTATATTACCAGTACTATGAGATGTGTATGCAGCACATTTTTGTTGTGACCTTGCATAACTTGCAGGTGTCCTTAAATCAAGGCTCTCTGTGCCACAAATGTTAGACACATAATTTAAATTAGCTACATTGTCTCTCAGAAGTCCTGTAGAACTGACCTTCATTTGTAATCCTTCCATAGCCACACCCTCTGTTTTGACAGTGGAAACATCTGTTGGATTCCTGCTAAATATCCCATATAAGAAACGTTGTTGAGTTGAGGGCTGTTGATCTGTATCTTGGATCTGGGAGGGTATTTGAGGTAGCCGTCTTTTTGATTGGCCTTGCTGTGTGTGAATCTCTACTGGTATTTGTGGCTTATCCTGATTTTGCTTAACTGAATTCTGGATGTTTAAGGATACATCTTCAGAAGAAGATGTGAGCTTATTGAAAAAGCCAGATAAAATTCCTGGCTGAGCTGATGTTTCTTGCCTTCCTACACGAGAGCTTTGTTTTGTCGCAACTTGCTGTGGCAAACTTGCATGTTCCTTTTTTTCCTGTGTAACAGGTAGTTCCTGTGACTCATTAGAGGACACTTTAAGAAAAAGAAGGCCATCCGACTGGTGTTTTTGATTAGATGAATTATTTTGGGATGAGTGGCTTTGTTCTATAACATTTGTTTTTGACTGGAGCACAGATGACTGGGTGTTAGAAGCTTGAACTTGCTGTGCTGATTGAGAGACGGAAACATCTGAGGAGGCAAACTTAAAAAGACCAGATAGAAGGCCATCTTGCTGAGAATGTCCTTGATGGGATACACTTTGTTTATGGCCATCTAATATGCCTTTTTGAAGCCGTTCTGACTGTTGTTTTGGGAAGTTAGACTGCTGTGTTTGGATCCTGCTCTGACCCTCTACCTTATGCTGGACAGAATCTTGAAAATAACTTATGCTTGGTGATTTTTGTTGCTCCTGGGGCATCGTTGTTTGAGTGTCCAAAGGTTTTTCGGTAGAGGCAAATCTAAAAAGGCCAGACAAAATACTTCCCTGTTGAGATTTTGTCTCTTGCTGAGAGAATTGTTGAGGCTCTCTGTGAGAAATTTCTGTGGAAGTAATAGTTAGCCGCCCTGAGAGAGGAGGAATAGATGCACTTGTTTGGGTATGAGGTTGGTTTTGTTGATTTAATATTTGAGCAGACTGACTCCTTTGCTGATTTACATGAGCACCTGTTGCCATATCACCTGTGGAAGCAAATTTCATGATTCCTGAGAGTAAGCCCCCTTGTTGTGGTTGATTAGGAAATGCTTGGGCACTTGATGCATTATCTGAAGCAACTGATTTAAACAAACCAGAAAACAGGCCCTGACGTTCATGTTGAGATGCATTTTGCTCTGTAATATTAGGTACTTGAGTTGGACCAGGTTGTTGGTGCTTAACTTGCATTTGTTCCTTAGCAGAAGTTGGATTGGGATGTTGCATCCTATGACCAGTCTGATTAGACCCTGGAGGAGGTAAAGTGCTCTGAATATTAGGCCTATGGATAGGTGGAGTAACAGGCTGCAGATCTTCAGTAGGTGCCATCTTAAATAGACTAGAAAACCAGCCTGTTTCTGTGTTCCCCTTACTTGTTGTGTCTGGGGGTTCTTTATTGGAAGGTGTTGTTAATTTTGCATTGTCAGGCAGAGAAGCTGGAATTGCACCTGCCACTCTCTTTGTTACAGCTGGAATTTGATCCGTTTTAGTGATTTGAGGCATACTCTTGGATGCACCTGAATCCTCTCCAGATGCAAACTTAAACAATCCAGAAAACAGCCCCCCATCTGACTTTTGAGGTTGTGGGACAGACACATTGTCTGAGGAGACAAAAGTTTGCTTTTTAAGGGAGGATTCATCTGGAAGCTTTTCTACCCTAATGTCTTCTGCTGACCTAAAGACAGGAAAAACTGTGTGTGTTTGAGACTGGGGAGGCACTGGTGGTCCAGGTGAGATTAATGAACTGAGTGATTTCCTAAAAGGATTAAAAAATCCAGACTCTTCTGTAGCCTTTTGTGGTACAGGCTCAGTGAGTGTCTTCTTATAATTAATCTCATTACAGGTATTTTTAAGTATCTTAAACTTTTTACTATCATTGTCTTGATAAGCATCTGACATTTTACTGAGTTTTGTTTTTCCATTCAAAACCGTGGGAGGATCACCTGGCTTGTTTTGCTTTGCATCCAACATTGAATTGACAGATGATAAACTTTCTCTGTGAGCTTTGACACCACCGTATTTCGTGAGCTCATTTTCCATTGAATGTATTGACTGGTCTGCCTCTTGTAACTTGGCATCTGATGGCTGGAAAGGCAAAACGGGTGACATTGAAAACTTCCTATCAGTAGGGGAAACCACAGCTACTGGTGTGGGACTTGTAGACTTTGGCATAAAGGAGAACAATTTTGATATACCAGAACTAGCATTATGTGGGGTCTCTGATTGTTCAACTGATTTGGACCCTGCTTGTTTTGAGCCTGACACAACTTTATCAGTTAAAGAGCTAAATAACGAGCTCATGGCATTTTTCACTCCAGACACTCCATGGTCAGAAGCACCACTTAAATTACTTTCTTTGGCATCTATGGGTTTTTCTTTTACTTCCTTAGAGATGATGCCTTGCTCATCTCCAACAGATTCGGTTCTTGCACTACCTTGAGATGACAGCCTTGATTTGTTAGATTTGGGTAAGGATCCATATTTACTGATCTCCTCTTCTTTTTCAGCTAGATACTCTGATACGGTTTCAACTAGGCACTGCAACTCATCCATAGGATCAACATATTCATCACTAGGTTCCTCTACAGGTGAGAGCATGACCTCTGGAGCCCATCCACCAATTTTACCCTTTCCATTCTTCTTCTCCCGGTAACCTTGAAGCCTCTCAGTTTGACCACCATACGTTGAGAAATATCCATGGTGGCTATTATTCTTCTTCTCCTCACCCCTGAGTGCCTTAGCTAAAGATGTCATTTCCTCCAACTCCTCTTCAGAGCAAATAGAATAATGTAACTCATCTGAACCCTCAGAATCAAACTCTACATCTTCCCTCAATCTAGCAGCTTCCTCCTCTTGATATGCAACATAATTTTCTAGCGTGTTTTCTAGCTTGTTTTTGGCCCACATCCTAGTTTTGTAGAGTAATCCATTTTTGTATGGTTTCAGACATGGAGTCATGTTCTCATCCGCTTCTTCCATTTCTTTTACTTGACGTAACACAAGCTCGGTTCGTTTTTGACGGAGAAATGCCAGATCAGGAGGGAAATGCTCTGCTCCAGCATGCTCCAGCCCTCCTGGGTCCCGGATTTTTTTCTTTCGCCTTCGGTCAATAGTAGCATAGCCTTCTGGGTAAGCAGCATTTAACACAGAATTTTTGTTTTTTATCGGCAACAGCTGCTTGATTATGGGGTCATGGTAATCCTTTTCTTTATGAACAACATCACTCTGTCTGTCTTGATCTTCAATCCATGCCTGTTCCTCTCTATCAAGGAACTCACTAAGGGTACTTTTACCCTGTTTGTATTTCACTTCCCAATCCTCCACACCCATGCCTGAATCTACTGGGACAATTCTAATTCTACCCTTCTGATTAGGAGCTCTAGCGGAGATTAGGATGGAAGAGGATAACAAAGGAGGGAGAAAAAAAAGAAAAAAAAAAGAGCATTTCAACACAACAACAAAAAACAAAAACAAAAGTTTTGCTATTTAAATGAAAGTTAGCAAAATTAAACAGACTTTACTATTCAATTAAATGCCTTTCACCTTATCAACAAGTTTATGTTTAGTACACTTACCCATATAATTAATACAACAAATTACACACAAATGACATTTCAACCACAACCTGATCACAGAAAACAGAATCTGGATTTATAAAAATGGATCTGATAATTTTCTGGATTAGTTCTGTGCAGGACCATACAAGATACTTTGATTAACAACAATCCCATACCATATTTCAGGTTATTTTCTCTTTTGCAACCTATAAATCTAAATAGGAATACTTACAGATAAGCATAACAATTCAGTTTACCCGTTTTTATATAGCACTCTTTACAATATAGATTTTCAAAGGAAGTAAACATAGATGAAGTTCTAGTAAATTAAAATTGCTTCAGTTCAGTTGTCACAGTTGTGTTCAGTTTGGCTCAGTTCAGTGTAATGCAAAACATTTTTAAAAAAGGATAATGTGCAACTAGTGGGACTTATAACAATTACTGTCCCAAAACCATTGCTTTGATGCAAATGTGATGAGGTTGCACATAAATGGAGGCATACAGTATGTACAGTATGCATACAATATGTATAGAAACTAAATGTACCTGCTTGCACGGTGATCCCTATAGTCAAATTCAAAACTGTGCAAAGAGTCAGCACAGGAGTCCATGTGCTGCTGAAAGCGTGGTCCCATAGGATATTGGTGAAGTGAAGAGTTGGGCTGGGCTGTGGTATGGTAGCGGGGAGGCAAACTACTGCTGGTTTCACTCCTGTAGTCACTGTCTCTATCCTCCACCGCACTATCCAGGTCATCCAAAGCTAGAAACAGTGAAGCAGAAAGGTCAAAATGCAAACATTACAAGCGAGAAATACAAAAATTGTCTTGTTTTTTTTTTTATATATTATGCGCTAATGTAAGTGATTTAAGTGAGATTGCCCATTGTGTCTATGAGAGCAATAGATAAACTAAATTGTCATGACTTGTGTAAACAACAAAGCTTTAACAGTCCTTTTTGCTCTCTAGAGTGCAAAAAAACAAAAAAACAAAAACACGCAATTCAGTTTAAGGTTTTTTTTTTCCAAATCAGATGGGGCACTTTGAGTCTAAGGAGCCATATACCTTGCATATTTATGTCTACCCCAACTGTAAATGAAATATTCAAAAATATTTAAAAGTCAAATCTTGTTGACCACCAACTAAAATTAACTATATCATTTAGAAACAAAGTGATCCAGTATAAACAAGCATGAAAGACCTAAATGAAGGACATCTCAAAAATAAAAAGCACACAATGTACACAAAGAACTTATAATTACGTCAACAGGGGAAAAAGGTTCTCAACAGGGAATTTCAAGGAAAATTAAGAAATAGTTCATGCATTCAGTCTTAAAACACCCAAACATTCATGGAAAATATTGTGCCTTTGAAGAGAATATGTACATGGCATAATTAGGCTAAATGGCACAAGATGCACAAATAGATTGACAAACATAAGGTTACGCCACCTAAATGTTCAAGTAAAAGAACTTATGATTCAGAGTTTCTGTATCACTCATTTTTCATTACTTTTTTAGCTTAAAATAACTTAAACTGCTTGATAATAAGCTTATTGAAGTTTATTGGTTAGTTTTGTGTACTCTCTTAATAGTAAACATGACACATTCACATACAAAAGTGTTTGTTCATTTGCTATAAGTCCATTGCATGCAATTTTACTTGTGCATGAATACATTCATGGGCTCACATGAAGGAACAAATGAGATTTTAGGGTCCAGGAGGGGTTCCAGGGAATAATCTACAATAAAGGGTTACTATATAAAATCTAAATACACGTTACATACTCTGGCTGTCAGCCCATCCAAAATAGTTGCCTGGTGACATTAAAAATCAAAAGTGAGAAAAGAGTGCAAACACAAATCCATTTACAAAAACTGACATTTCAATTCAAATGGGGATTTTCTTGTGCTTTATACAATTTTAAGCTGCTTCAGGGAACATACAATTGCAATCAGAAATATTAAACGCGGTTAGATTCTTTTTTTTTTATATATATTTATTTTCAAAATGATGTTTAACAGAGAAAATAAAATTTCACAGTATGTCTGATAATATTTTTTCTTCTAAAGAAAGTCTTATTTGTTTTATTTTGGCTACAATAAAAACAATTATTAATTTAAAAAAAAATCACTTTAAGGTGAAAATTATTTTCCCTTTATGCTATATTTTTTCAATAGTCTACAGAACAAACCATCATTATAAAATAACTTGCCTAATTACCCTAACCTGCCTATTAACCTAATTAACCTGATTAAGTCTTTAAATATCACTTTAAGCTGTATAGAAGTGTCTTGAAATTATATATAGAAAAATATTATACACTTTCATCATGGCAAAGATAAAATAAATCAGTTATTAGAGATGAGTCTATACAACTTCTCTGTTTAGAAATGTCTTGAAAAAAATCTCTCCGCTAAACAGAAATTTGGGAAAAAAATAAACAGAGGGGCTAATAATTCAGGGGGTATAAAAATTTAGATTGCAATTGTATGTGAACAAATATGCTTTTCAAATGTAACAAGGAGGGGAGTGGAGAGTGCAGTGAAGCATCAGGCATGAGGCTGTGGCTCCATCTAGTGTGAGATATTGTCACTCACAGCACTGAGAAGCAGCACAGGGCAGAGGACGACCCACTACTTCATCCTGTAAGGGAAACTAAAACAAGGCAGAGAAAACAAGACAGTAAGAGTTAGTAAAGAATGAATAAAGTGTGATTAAAAAGTACTTCTGTTATGGTAGTTAACAACATAGAAATGTACATGACAGATATGACTACTCCAGACACATTGGCAAGGGACAATGACAGGTCACTTACAAAAAAAATCTACGAGTTTTCCAAAATTCAACAACATAGCTGTTGTCAAAATCTACATTAACATTTTGATTGTATTAAAGGAATATAGTTAACCCAAAAAAAAAACATTTACTCAAATCTATCATCCACAAACTTGTTTGAGTTTCCTTCTTCTGTTGAACACAAAGAAAGGTATACCAAAGCATGATGGATTAAAGCAGCCATTGACTTCCATAGTAGCCTTTTTGGTTCCGACTATGGCAGTAGGAAAAAATATATATACAAATGTTTAAACTATTTAAGTGTGTATTCTGTTTGATCTCCAGTATTTATGAACCTGCATTAACTAGCCCAACATTGAGGATGGTTTACTTGTAGCAGTTCATAAAAATATCTGCTAGTGAGGCATCTGTGTACAGTATATGTCTTTGGCTAACAGCCCAGGTTACTAAACATGCAGATTCAAATAAAATACAAACAGGAAAATATGGGAAATGTGCATGCAAATCCACAGCAGACAAATTTTCACTTCAACTAGATAAGATATAAATAATAAGATAAAATCTATTTATTTACTTTTGTAAATATATCTAAATATACTGTGTATAATTATTAAATTTTTTAAAAATTTCTGAAAATATTATGGAATACTATGCAGAATTTTGGACGATTCATTTACAGTATGCATTTGTAAATTAACATTATTTTTGTCTTTTAGTGTACATATATGAGAGAGCTACTTTGTTCATCAAACAAGTGGTTATAAATGGATTTTCATTGTAAATCTTAAAATGTTAGGAAATTTGTTTTTTATTTTATTTTTTTTCTTCTGCACTCTTCTATTATGTATGGTCACTGGGGATGCAACGATTAACCGGTTTCACTTTTAACTGCGCTTTAATTAATCACGGTTAATTAATCGCAAAGGCTTCTCAACACTGTGTTTCTGTACGGAACAAAACTGCTGCAACTAAACTGTGAGCTAGTTTGTCACTAAGACTAATAACCACACACACTAGGTTAACTATGACTGAGGCTATTAACTAATGCAAGCTCGTGCAAGTTCATTATTTCCAATGGAGAGACCATATAGACTGTAATATATAGGGAGGGACGCGCACACGACGCAGCGCGCTCACGCTTTTCAGGCGCACCTCGTTGGGATAACAGCAATCATGTAGTGAATGTTAATCCACCAGCCGAGATCAACCGAGTGATTTCTGAGAGAGCGCTGAAAGACTCAGAGTGGATCAGCTGTTTAATGGTGTAAATCTCGATGCGTTGCATTCACCATGTGTTCAGCGCAAATGTCCACGTAATGTAAAACCTAACCCTTACACATCCTTGCCAAAGAAGCTCACCTTTACTAAGTTTGAACTGAAACTGTGGCTCATGACAATGGTATTGTGCTGGTGGTCATTGGGGGAATCCTGCTCTGCCCCGCTTATACTGTATGGGTCGGCTGACTCGCCGGCTTTTTTTTTTTTTTTTTTTTTGATTTTCACAGAGAGGTGAAAATCAAGAGCATAACGAGACTGAGCATTTACAATGACCAAACCCAAACCAAAACTTTTAAAGAGGTGCAGAAGTGAGAATTTTCTTCCTTTCTTTCGTTCATTCTTTCTGTTTATTCAATGTACATTTACATTTTTTTTATCCAAAGCGACTTACAAATGAGGACAAGGAAGCAATTTACACAACTATAAGAGCAACAATGAATAAGTGCTATAGGCAAGTTTCAGGTCTGTAAAGTCTAAGAATGAAAGTATTAGTAATTTTTAAAAAAAAAATTTTTAGTAATTTTTTATTTATTTTTTATTTATTTATTTATTTATTTTTTTGAGTACAGTTAGTGGTATATCCAGAGAGGCAATTGCAGATTAGGAAGTGAAGTGGAGACTAAATAGTTGAGTTTTTAGTCATTTCTTGAAAACAGCGAGTGACTCTGCTGTTCTGATGCAGTTAGGGAGTTCATTCCACCAACTGGGCAGATTGAACGTAAGCGTTCGCGAAAGTGATTTCTTCCCTCTTTGGGATGGAACCACGAGGCAACGTTCATTCACAAGTTTCTGGAGGGCACATAGATCTGCAGCAGTGAGAGCAGATAAGAAGGAGCAAAGCCAGAAGTCGCTTTGTAGGCAACCATCAGAGCTTTGAATTTGATGCGAGCAGCAACTGGCAGCCAGTGCAAACGGATGAGCAGCGGAGTGACATGTGCTCTTTTAGGTTCATTGAAGACCACTCATGCTGCTGGGTTCTGGAGCAGCTGAAGAGGCTTGATAGAGTTAGCTGGAAGCCCCGCTAGTAGAGAGTTGCAGTATTCCAGTTTGGAGAGAACAAGAGCTTGAACAAGGAGTTGAGCTGCATGTTCAGATAAGAAGGGTCGGATCTTTCTGATGTTATAGAGTGCGAATCTGCACGATCAAGCAGTTCTAGAAATGTGGTCAGAGAAGTGTAGTTGGTCATCAATTGTTACTCCAAGGCTTTTCACCATTTTGGATGCAGTAATGGTTGCCCCATCCATCTGGATTGAAAAGTTATGGTGTAGAGTCGGGTTGACAGAAACTACAAGCATTTCCGTTTTTGCGAGGTTAAGCTGAAGATGATGATCTTTCATCCAGCGTGAAATGTCCAGCAGGCAGGCTGAGATGCGAGCTGAAACCGAGGGATCATCAGGATGGAAAGAGAGGTATAGCTGGGTATCATCAGCATAGCAGTGGTAGCAGAATCCATGTTTCTGGATGACTGATCCTAGAGATGACGTGTAGATGGAGAAGAGAAGTGGCCCAAGAACAGAGCCTTTAGGTACCCCATTGTTTAGATGCTGTAGGTTGGACACCTCTCCCCTCCAAGACACCCTGAATGACCTGTCAGAGAGGTAAGATCTGAACCATTGTATAACAGTGCCCGCAACGCCCAGTGACTCAAGCGTAGATAGCAGGATCTGGTGGTTTACAGTGTCAAAAGCAACTGACAAATCCAGCAAGATGAGGACTGAGGACTTTGAGTCTGCTTTAGCCAGTCTGAGATCCTCCACGACCGAGAGCAGGGCAGTCTCAGTTGAGTGGCCTTTCTTAAAGCCGGATTACTTGTTGTCCATGAGATTGTTTTAAGTAAGAAAGTCCAGGACTTGATTGAACACTACTTTCTCCAGAATCTTGACCATGAATGGAAGCAGGGATACTGGTCTGTAGTTTTCAAGTAGTCAAGTAGTGTATGGTCCAGGTTGGGTTTCTTTAGCAGTGGGGTTACCCTAGCCTGCTTAAATGAAGTGGGGAATAAACCAGAGTCAAGAGATGTGTTAATTATGTGAGTCAGTGTTGGTATGACTGCAGGAGAGATGGCTTGCAAGAGATGAGAGGGAATGGGATCAAGTGGACAGGTGGTTGCATGGCTAGATAGCACGAGTTTGGACACCTCAGACTCAGAGAGCTGAGAAAAAGAGGTGAGTGTGTGTGGTGTTGGTGGTGTCTCTTGCGTGTTTGTTGTAGGTGCAGCAAATTGAGCACTGATTTTTGCAGTTTTGGTGCAAAAGAATGTAGCAAAGTCATCAGTAGTAAGTGTGGAGGATGCGGGCGGAGATGGAGGGAGATGGAGGATAGAGGAGGGAGGAAAATGTTTTAAAAAGTAGGCGAGGACTAGTGGCATTGTTGATTTTCTGACGGAAATATGTCTGCTTTGCAGAAGTAACTTCAGCCGAGAAAGAAGACAAAAGAGTTTGGTATGTTAAGAGCTGTGCAGGATTTTTAGTTTTCCGCCAAATTCTCTATGCTGCCCGAAGTTTTGAGCGATGCTCACGGAGAGCATCCAAGAGCCAGAGTGCAGGAGGACTGGCACGGGCTGGCCTGGATGCAAGAGGACATAATCTGTCTAGACATGATGCTAGTGTGGAGCAGAGTGTATCAGTGGCACTGTTCGTATCAAGTGCAGAGAGTTTGCAAGATGGAGGAAGAGAGTCTGAAACAATGGTAGATAGTCTATTGGGTGAGACAGAGCGTAGGTTTCTACGAAAGGCAACCAGTGTTGGAGTGTGTGGCGGCTCAGGAGTAATGTGGATGTTGAGGGACAGAAGGAAATGATCGGATATTTGTAGTGGAGTTACTAGTGTTTGATCAGCGAAGCAATGTCGTGTGCAAATAAGGTCTAGCTGATTACCTGATTTGTGGGTAGCAGAAGTAGGTGCTCTTTTGAGGTCAAAAGAGGCAAGCAGAGTCTGAAAGTCAGCAGCTTGCGGTCTCTCAATGTGAATGTTGAAGTCACCTAGCACCAACAAGGGAGTGTCATAATTAGAAAAAGATGAGAGAAGAACATCCAGTTCATCTAAGAAGTGACCTAATGTACCCGGTGGGCGGTTGATGACAACCACATTTATGTAGAAGGGGTGGATAATGGTGACTGCATGGAATTCAAAAGAGCTGATTGTTGGCAGGGACGGTCGCAGAGTAAATTTCCATTCTTTGGAAATCAGTAGTCCAGTCCCACCCCCTCTCCCTGTCTGACGAGGAGTGTGGGAAAAAGAGAAATTAGTAGAAAGAGCTGCATGAGTAGCAGTGTCCTCCGACCTCAACCAGGTAATTGACCAGCATATAAAACAATAGTGCAAAATAAAAATTTCTTACTGCAATGCTTTATTTTTTCGATGCAAACCATAGATTTACTTTTTTTTACAAAGTAATAATAGGACTTTTTATTAGCAGATAACTCACACATTCAAGGCAGCATGATAATGAAACATGTTTTTCATTGTTAGTATTTTTAGTATTTAGTATTTTTGTCATCTTCATCATCATTAATATTTCATATTTATTAGACAGTCATTTTGGAATTATTGCACAAATATCAATAAGTCATCACAGCATTAGTAAGTTATTAAAATTTGTTTCTGTTTTTTTTCTTTGTCCTGAACTAAGTTTTTGGTGGGTACTACAAAATTTGTCTGATGCTCCTAAATTTTGAAGTTGGGAGCACGGGTAAATTCAAGCCCTGCATTAGACACATACTGTTTTTTTTTATTTAAATTTATTCTTCTTTTTATTTGTTTATTGTTCTGTCATTTATTTACAGTGTAAAATTATTTCTGTTTAAATGTCAAAATCATTCACTTATTTTTAAGCACAAAGAGAGAAATTTACTATTGTTTGTTTTTTATATTATTTTGTGCTGTATTATTAGTTATTGAGCAGCAATAAATACCACTGTAAAATAAAAAGAGTTTTCATCTAATTTTCTAAACTAGCGGGGTTTAAAATGAATGAATCCATAATAATCTTGATAACTGTGAAACCGTGGTTATTTCTCAGACTACAATTGTACAACTAAAATCTATAATCGTTGCATCACTAATGGTCACATTTGCTATAAACCTTATTTAGTAGGTTTATATAGTTGCACCTGCTTAAAGTAAACTGAATTATATAAACTCATTTCAGATTATGAAAATGCATCCTGTACATGTATATTCTGGAAAATGCAGTGTCTCTTGACTCTAAACTCTACTTTCTGTACAGCATGTTGTTAATTTTGTTTTGTTTTTATAATCATATATGTGCAAGAGGGCACAACATAAAATATTTGCTATTACATGTCACAATTTGTCACTATTTAAAACAAATTAGTGAAGGTCTTGAATTAGTGAATGCCAAGCCGAATTAATATTCACCAAAAACTTGATAGTGATTTAATTATAGTGATTGCCCTGGACAACTGATAACTTCAGTATTTCTTAAATCTCACATTATTGCACTACAAAAACAACTCAAACACACACATGCTGACCCCATAAAAAAGCTGTGATGTTAATTATTAAAAAAACAAGAGGGAAACAAAAACAAAATATTACAAATAACTACACATGCATTGAAAACTTTTACCTGCCACCAACATCACCATCATACTCATTGTCATCTTTAGTATATTCTGCAACTTGATATACATGATTTAGAAAAACTGTCTTAATGACTTAATATTTTACTTAAATTATAGTTATTTAGCTAGTCAATAATTATGCATATTTAAAGCGGCAAGTTAAAGTGAGACACATTAAAATGATCTGAAATCTTGAAATAATTGAATAGATTAAAACTTATTTGTTATACCTTTATTATTATAAATATAATATTAACTATAAATACTTATTATTTATTTTTATCAGATATCGTTAAAGATAACCACAAATAAAGTAATTGGATAAAATCATGCTTATTGCACAATAAAATATTTTCACTATGATTTACTCATGTTACATAACTTCAGATACTATAACATGAGGAATGAGGAATATTTAACAGACCATGCTTCCTTGTTAGGTTAAATTATAACAGCAACTGTGGCAAAATGCAGTGCACATGCATTCATCAAATTGTCAAGCCACCTCAACGACCTCTTGGAAAAAACACCAATACGGACTATTGTTTGTAACTGAAGTTCCCATGTAGTTAAATAATGAAGGTATGCTGTTATTCGGTCTTACCTCATCATGAATGCCCATAGCATTGATGCGCTCCAGTTTACCAGTCCAGTATCGAGCCTCATCCTCTGGGATTTCTTAAAAATAGAGAGAAAGCCATGAACGCTGCAGTCTGAGCCAGAAAACTTCATGCTAACCATTTACATGAGCCAAAACCTTATGGATTATGTATTTAGACCTTTTAAATATGTAATGAGCTACTTGGTCGAGGGACCTCAAAAATAGTCTGCGAGTCAAAAAAAACAAACAGTGCATTACTTGATGCTTCACCTTAAATGTAATTACAGGGATAAAGTTATGCAGTGCTGAAGAATTCGGTCTCTGTTGCAATACTTTAAGGAGTAGGAAAAGAATCAGCAGTTTTTTGTCAAACTCACAATACCGGTTACTCTGCAAGCAAACCATGTTTGTTAAACTCTGGTATTCATTTTAAAAAAATCTAATGTTGTGTAAATATACATGGACGACAGAAACTTTTTAATCAATTTTAACTTAAGATTGTGATATGATTTAGTGGAATTCAGTACAAATTAGTGCAATTTAGTGCAAATAACAAAGAATGTATTCCACTGTAATTAACCTTTTCATAGAAGCTGCTCATGATGACTGTTTTCAGTGTCTCTCAGGGCAATCTGTAGTAAACACATCTCCGCAACCATGTTGGGTTTAAGACAATTATAATGTGCATTTCATGTTATAACATTATTATAGTAGGTGTTGAAGTGGAAAGTCATATTTGTCCAGTATTTTCACCATGGCTGAAGTATTTCTTTTAGAGAGTTAATGTTCTGTTTTAAAACTATTAGTCAAGTAGATTGTGTTGTGTTATGAATGGATTATATGCACGGAAGTGTTGTTCAGTCACTAAAATCTACTGGTGAACGATTGATGCGACTATTTTCATTAGGGTCTTTTTACAGCATCGACAATTTAGATTTTTATTCAACAACAAAACATAAGTAAATCGCGCTATTCTAGCCAGCTTTACTGGGTTGAAGGTGGTTTTATATTCACATTGGTTCATTTTTGAACAATGACAGCCCGTGACGTGCTCTCTATATTATTTACCATGCTACTCTGAAAATTTGGTCTGAAATGGCATGCAGGTATGGCTTAGTATTAAGTGTAATTCCTGCACAGCGCCGGCCAAGCACTAAGCATACAGTAGTTGCTCTAGGACAAAGCGTAAGAGAGAGTAACACCAACAATTTTTGCATGCATTAAATATTGAACATTATGATAATTTTTGCTTGTTAACTACATAACTGAAAACGTGCTAGATATAATAGTGCTTTTTGTCCAAAACTGTAGTATTATAAAGTTTTCTATCTGGAAAATTACATGAACTAGTGGGTTATCTGCGGGTATCTTTAAGGTGCGTGCGTTCGTGTTTCAGGAGGCGTGGCTTTGGATAGCATGGGAGGGACTATGTTTCAAAGATATTATGCTTACCGGTTAGCATTTTGGCTGATCATCTACTACACCTTTTGTTAAGGTATTTGCTAACAGTAGAGTGCAATGTGTCTAAAAAAAGTCAGGGTAGTTTAGTTCAATAATTTTCTTGAATTATAATTTACGCTCATTAACCGAGAAATAGACTGTTCAAATTAATTTAATGGCTAACAAAAATACTAAAAGAAACCTTTACATAGATAGTTCACCCCCCCCCCCCCCCCCCCCCTCCAAAAAAAATCTGTCATCATTTACACACCCTTGGCTTATTCTAAGGCAGATTGTTGGAAACCTGTAACCCATTGTCTTTCATAGTAACAAAAACAAATACTAAGACAGTCAATAGTTACGGGTTTCCAACATTCTACAAACTATCTTCTCTTGTTTTCGACAGAACATAAAACTCAAGCTGGTTTAGAACAAGCCAAGGATGTCAATAATAAATGATGGCAGAATTTAAAATTTTGGGCGAACTATCCATTTAAAATTAGTTAATGAAAATAAAGTTCATTGTTAGCTAACTCGCAGTGTTTTAACAACTCAGTAAATGTTAAACAGTTATTAATAAATCCTGTACCTGAATGTTTATTTTTAGTTCATGTATTGCAAGTCGATACATCAACTAAAATTAACTATTGGACCATTATTTTTAAGGGTTACAAAAACATCAAAATATATAAAATTGAATTAAAATGTGGGCGACATGGTGGCTCAGTGGTTAAAACTGTCCCCTAGCAGCAAAAAGTTCGCTGGTTTGAGTTCCGGCTGGGCTAGTTGGCATTTCTGAGTGGAGTTTGCATGTTCTCTAAATGTGTATGAGTATAGGCTGGGTTGCAGCTAAAAGGCCATCTGCTTTGTAAAACATATGCGTGACAAGTTGCCGGTTCATTCTGCTGTGGCAAACCTTGATAAATAAAGAGACTAAGCGGAGGAAAAATAAAAGAATGAATGAATTATAAATGTAAATATATTATAAGTATTGCTATGACATCTGAACTTTAAAAAACTAGTCAGAGATGCAAACGTATTACATAAATGTTTTAAAAACTTTCTTACACTTTTGATTTTAGATGTAATGCTTATTTGCATAATGACGGACAAAAGCATTTTGATAACCAATTGGAAGTGTGTGCAATGTGAGCAAAGCATCAAATACTGTGCGCAGCCGCCTTTGAACATTTTGAACAAGAGGAGAACAGCTTCAAAGTCCTCGGATAAAACAGTCAGGCTTATGAATGGGATCAATGGCAGGCATCCAGGCCAAACGCACTGCTTCGACCTTTCACATCCCAACAACCTGCAGCTTGCTTACCAACACACATTTTTTATTTACAGCCCACTGCTCCACTCACGATGCAGACACAGCTGGGAAAATGTCATTATTTTTTGTTAAATCTTTCACAATGAGGAGGAAATCAAAGTAATAATTCAAGCAGCATCTGAAAGGCTTAAGGCTCCTTTTTTCTCTCTGAAACATGGATCCAATTTCCACCTGGTATTAAAAGGAGAGTACAGCCAAAAATGTTAATTTAGTTCATTTACTCTCAGACAGACAGATTTTCATAATTCATTCATAAGCCTCCAACATGTGTTACATGAGCCACAAGATTTCATTTTGTTTAGCCTATACATTTAATGTTGTTTTTACTTTTAAAGTGCCAGTAGCAGTTTTCTGCTTTTTAAGAATCACCAAGAAACACAGTTTCCGCTTGAAAATCAGCAGAACAGAAGAAACATCTCATACATTTTGCAAAAACAAGTGAATTATTAGCAAATTCTAAGCTGAAAAAAAAAAAACAGCAGTCGTCAAAAAGAGGACAAGCTCAAATGTTTTATATCCCATCTACAACTGTTGTCCGTTTGTAATTGGAATGTCATAAAATGCATAATAATACCAGGAGTAAACCGGGCTAGAGTATTATCAGGTTACAGAAACTGTCCTTTAAGCTCTATCATTCATCAAAAGTGAATGACAGCAGTTTTGGATAGAGCTAATGTTTTATTAGAAAGAAAGTAGCTTCCCAAAGGACATTTACTCATGCCTGATGACATTAAACAAATCAATGGAAAGCCAAATCACCAGACAGGCAGATGCGATTGATTTCAAACAGCCTTTTTTCAAAAGATCAGCAAGACACTTCTGTCCTTTTTAAATTACAAACGCCTTGCTGATTTTTTTGTAAATATAAAGATAAAAGATAAAAATGCTTTATATTTTTGTGGAAACTGGAATTTTTCAGGATTATTAAATAAAACAGTCAAAAGAACAAAATTAATTTGAAATAAAAGACTTTTGTAACTTTGCACTTTTGATAAAATTAATACCTTTTTAAAATTAAAATAAAATATATATTACAGTAAACGATGACTCTTGTGATTGATAATACAAAGCACTTTGAAAATGAAAATCTTACCAAAGGGCAGTTCAAAGCGAGTGTCCAGAAGGACTCGATGTGGCGTCGGGTTTTTAGTCCCATAAATCTCATCTGCCTTCATCAAAACTTCAGAGTCAAGAAATATCCATTCCCCAGCGCCCTCCTGCTCAGAAAAAAAATTATTTATTACAGAAAAACTGCAGAAGTATACAGTTGTGGCCAAAAAAGATGTCTGATTGGCACAAAAGCCCTACAAGATTAATTAAGCCATCAAAATAGAATTCTGGGAAGAGGAAATGGCTTACTTATGTGATCTGAATGACAAAATTATTTAGCAAAAAAAGTTAAACTAAAACTTATTATTTAAGTAATAAAGGTTTTAACTAAACAAATACAGATAAACAATTAACTCACTGTATGAAGCACGCATTGACTGCAGTATAATCAATTATTAATTATTATTCATTGGTTTTGTACTGGATTATAATTTCCTCTCGCACTTTCATAAAGGAAACCATTTAAAAGCAGATGTACATCAATATACCATCAGTCACTTTGAATAAAGTATGACAATGACAATATTTCCTGAGCTCTGCACCACTTCACACTAGACCTTTAGAGTCTTTAGCTTGAACTGATGACTAAGTTCAGTGAAATGGCACAGTTAAGAATGTGAAACTAATATTGTTTTTTAAAAAAAGGTATTGTAAATAGAACAATGTAAGAATTAAACGAGTTGCAAATTATTTCCAGACCTCGTCTGAATGGCAGATGTTTTTCAGTGGGATCCAGGCAGTTCCTAACATGGTGTCCCAGATGAGCCCTTTGTTCCACACCTCCACGATGAGACCCAGGTCCAGCCGGCTGATCTCACTGAAGGCCACAAAGACAACAGTTTCTGTGAGTGATTGGAACTGCTGGTAATGTTTAATTTTCAGTGCATTATAAATAAAGAACTAATGTATTTTGATTTATTACTAATCAAACAGCACAGCCAAAGTCAAGTTCTTGACTGATGAGGAACACCACAGAATATTCTTCAAAATTATCCCATTTTGACACATGTTTTTTCATCAGATATTTTAGATATCTAATGTTTTTTTTTTTTTTTTTCTGAATCTAGCAAAATCTGTTTTTATACTGTGAATTGGTATGTCAGTTCCACAAGGAAATTAGAAGACAATCTAGAGAAACATCAGTGTGCTGTAAAAACTCTGTAAAAACTCATTTTTACAAATGTACAAGGTGGAAAAGCAATGGTTCCAGCGCTGAGCCTTGTGGTACATCATGCCTATTTTATGTTGGTGTTATGACCAGTGTTTTTGTTGTATTTTATGTTGCAGTTTGTTTCTCTTTCTTTACTTCCTTATTGATTACTCATCTCACAGGCACATTGATGGTACGGTCTGATCCACTAGAAGATGCTAAAGCCTGTAGAGGTGGCCTATTTACGTATGTTTAAAGTGCATCTGGAAGGTATTCATAGCGCTTCACTTCTTCCACATTTTAGGATGTGACAACCTTATTCCAAAATGGATTAAATTTATTAATTTCCTTAACATTCTACACACAATACCCCATAAGGACAATGTGAAAAGGATTTGTTTTAAATTGTTACAAATTTATTAAAAATAAAAACACTGAAAAATCACATGTACATAAGTATTCACAGCCTTTGCTCAATACTTTGTTGATGCACCTTTGGCAGCAGTTCGTTGTTTGTTATAAAACTTCTATTTAATGCTACAAATTAATTCCAGTAATAGCATCACAATTTTAAGCCCATCCCAGATAAAGCTGGCCAATGGTATCACCATTTTATCACATTTGTCAACAAATAAAGCCTTGAAATGAAATAAGAGATTAAAAGACCTATTTTAACATTCCTGAAGACCTTTTTAGCTCAGACCTCAAACCTCTGTTTACAACTCTTACATTTCTGGCTAAGAAATGTACATTACTAAAATGTCCTACATCTCAAATTCCAACTTTTTCCATGTGGATTTCTCAGTTGTCAGTCTTTCTTCTTTTGGAAAAAAATAACCTATGACCTCAACCAAAAACCGGACAAATTCAGGAGACTTTGGGAACTTCTCCAATCCTTTCTCCACAAACTCTGAATTTTTATTTCAGGAAAGATCTGGCTTCTTTTGTTTTTGTATTGATTAAAAACCGATACATTTCTACATTTTTATTTATTTGGCAGCACTTGCAGTTTGTTTGTCTGATTGTCTTTGTGGTTTGTACCATTTGAAAATCCTTAATTTAAAAAATACCTATTTTAAACAAGACGCATTTTAAAAACTTTATAAGTTTTGATTAGCGGTGAATATTTAGAGAAAAATTGTGCAGTGTGTGTTAATTGATGCTCCAATTGGTTTGAGTGCCTGACCTACATATATTTGCAGTCTGTGGAGCACTTCACAAAGACCACAACTCTTTATTAGCTTCATCTTCATCATCTGAGTCTTCCAGGAGCAGGTGTCTAACTATGTACACATAAAAAAATTCAAGAAAAGCTATAGACCATTTCACTAACTACATTTACATGAACATCAGTAATTGAATTATTTGCCTTAATCTGAATAAGACAATATTATGATCAGGGCTTGACATTAACTTTTTTAATCACCAGCCACCGTGGCTAGCAGATTTTCAACATTACTAGCCACTCGCCATTTTCACTAGCCACACTTTTCTTGTTGGGAATATATATTTTGCTGTTTTGTGTTATGTTCACATGCCTTTTCATTCATTCAACTTCTTGTGTGTATTGTGTATTAGCTTGCTCAGTGTGCATGAGCAAACGGCTTGTGACACATTGCAATTAGTTTTGATTTCATGTCTTTTCAGGGCTCAAAATTAAGAATTTACCAAATTGATCTCTGACCACACCTGACCACACCAAATAAATATTTCTTTGCCACAATTTTTTAATGTGTAAAAACAAGGAAAATATAGCTTTATAGGTGCACTTTTTAATTGGACAAAACTTTACTTTAAAAAAAACATTACATTTAAAAAATAATTATTGTCATGCATCTAAAATATGCACAGTAATCTGTCCAGGCTAAAAGTTCCAGATCACCAGTTAACTACACATAAAAGGGGAGTAATATCCCATTAAAGCAATGTTATTGTAAAAAATGATAATTAAACCATATTTACAAAAATAACTGTAGGCAAGAAAAAACAGGTGAAAAACGTGCACACGGTTAATGTTGGGCCTGTTAATAATCTCTACTTAGAATAATTAAAATGGAAGCAGTGACCGCTGCTGCTTGCAAAAGAATGTGTATTTTTTTAAATCTTGAGCTCTTGAAAGCAGCAGGACTGTGGGTGGATGATCATCGCTGTTTGTCCAGTCTATTTCAAAGGGAATCAGTCGCAAATCAAGTGGGCTTTCTCTAGGCACAGTTGCTATCCACAAGTAAATGGGAGCTTTTTAACAGTCGCGCGCATCACATCAGCTGTTAGCACGAATGATCATGCTTTCATTCTGTATCACCATTCTTTTGCTCGCGCAAACAGTAATTTTTGTCAGTCGTGCTGCTTCACCTTAGATCACATTTGCACAAATATTGGGCCATGCTTATTGTCGAATCCTGCTTTTAAGAAAACTACGATTTAAAAATTATTTCCAACCAGCCAAAGTGGCTAGTTGAGGTGTCTGTCTAAACCGCCAGTGTTGAAATCAACCTGCATTTGGCAGGTTGGCGGGTGTTAATGTAAAGCCCTGAATATAATCTTAAAGTCTCTCACTGACTCGGTAGGTGCTGAGAATAGCGTCAAACAGCTGTGTGTATGGCATATCCTGTCACAAAATCCCGCACAACGATAATAGTTTGATTAAGATGTTTACATATCTGTACTGCACTTCAATAATGTGACTAAAATCGGTGTATTTCACATGTCTTAATCAGAGTTATATTTTGTACGTTTATGACTTTATTTGGATTAAGGTAATCAAAAATCGCTGTTTACATGGTAGACTCTTAATGAGAGTATTGTCTTAATTGTATTACAATCAGATTATTGGTGTCATGTAAACATACTCAATGTGGTCATGACAAGGGCCCATGAACATTTCTGCCTGTTATCAAACTATTTCATAACTGTAACAAGAGGAATTAAACCAAAACTTAATGTTAAGACAGCTATCATAAAATTAGTTATCAATATGTGGCTCTTTTTGGATTCTCGGAAGCTGTAGAAACATCCCTCAAAATAGTGTATATCTGACAATATTGTGGAAAAAATACAAACAGAATTTCATAGTGAAATTCTGTTTGTTGTACACCAGGTAAAATTTTATTGTACACCAGGTAAAAGTTAAGCCAAAAGCAAATATCACATACTGTATAATCTTTCCTCAACACATGGTCCAAGCATTTTATCAATGCGTATGACAATATTCTATGTTTGAGAAACTTACAGATGTGCGTCAAATATTTGAAATGCAATAAATGTTAGGTGACATTTAGCACACTTTATTTGTACATCAGGTGTGTGTTGCTAAAAGTCATAAATAATAGTAGTTTGCTCAAGGCCAGTGAATTAGTCTAAAATACTACACAAATGCTGAAGTCTAATCTGCATAATCATATACAGTGTAAAAAATAAATGTTTGTGCTGGTCGATTCGTTTCAGCTCCACACCATCTGCCAACAAGACACAATTCTTTCTACAACTGAATGAGGCAAACATGCTTTTTATCTGCAGCTCTGCTTGTTATAAATAGAGAAGAGCAACCACACACACAGACGCACGCAGACACAAAGCGGCACATAAAGAGGAGCATTTGGAAATCCATTCATAATTCATTAGGGCTTTCAATTTCCTCCAAAGTGCGTCGAGTATGAGATGCTTTAGAGCGCCTTGTTTGCTTATTGCTATATATTTTGCTCTTGTTCATTTTTCAGAACATGCCAAATGGCGATGGGATGGTTAATAACTAATTGAAAGGTTGCTACAGAGACCAATAGAGCTTGATGACGCAGTTAATTATGCTAAAAAATGCAGGTGGAAACATCCTGTCTGACACATCTGAATACTTATTGCCATACTTATTTTGTCCATTGATCAAACTAGCAGATTAGGAGCTATAAAACAGCTCTAATCCCATTGCTGTTATATCATCATTAGTGTTTAAGGTCTCAAAAAGGAGTAAAGAAAAGAGGGCAAACTGATAACAGTGTGCAGCTCTCGTGAAGTTCACCATAACAGAAATTAGCTCAAAGAAAATATATGCAGCACATCACTGGTTTTGAATATTGTTTAGCTGTAGGCTACTTTAGACTGCTACCTTAAATAATGTTTAACCAATCTTCAGTTAATGTGCACTCAATTACTTTAAATATTGAGGTGAGCAGCGCTGATATTATGGTTTATACACTACCTAACAAAAGAATTGTCGCCTCTGCACTCTGCAGATCTCTTGTGCACCCCCATACTGAATGTAGCCCCAAACCATGATTTTTCCATCACCAAACTTGAACGATTTCTATGAGAATCTTGGGTCCATGCGGGTTCCAGTAGGTCTTCTGCAGTATTTGTGATGATTGGGATGCAGTTCAACAGATGATTCATCAGAAAAATCTACCTTCTGCCACTATTCCAAATGATCAACTAGAAGTCAAGTTATTTTTTGTTGCTCTTACAACTGGGATCAACGGCAACACTTTTGTCAGTGTCTAATTTTTCACTTGGAGATTTATTTAAAACTCAAGTTCACTAAGGATATGAATAGAAATCTGATGAATGATAAACCAGCTAAAAACCTTTAAACAACATTCATTTTTTAACTTTTATCACATTAAATCAGAGATGCAAAAAAATACATATTTTATTGTGTTTTCATTATACTCAGTTAG